GGTAATGCTAGCTCATAGTATTCTGTAGAAGTTCCACCTGTTTATCCCTCCACTACTATGCTAACACATCCCCAAACATCTGGCAGCCACTGATTTTTTTTTTTTTTCTGGCTATAGTTTTGTCATTTCCAGAATGTCATTAAGTTGGGTTCGTACAATATGTAGTCTTTTCAGAATAACTCATTTTAATGGGCAATGTGTATTTAAGGTTCATCCATGTATTTTTTTTGTCTTGTTTTTTAGTCAGTGCATAGTAAGTACTCCATTTATATGGACATAGAAGTTTATTTATTCATTTACCTATTGAATAACATCTTGATTGTTACCGATTTTATAAATTCTGAACAAAGCTGCTGTAAGCATTTATAGGTAGGTTTTTGTGTGGATATATGTTTTCAATAGATTTGGATAAAAACCGAGGAACACAACTGCTGGATCACATGGTAAAAGTATTTAGCTTTATAAGAAACTGTCAAACTGCCTTCCAAAGCGGTTTCACCCTGTTGCATTCCCACCAGCAAAGAAATAGCTCCTCTTCCCACATCCTCACCAGCATTTGGTGATGTCCATGTTTTGGATTTTTAGCCATTCAGACACATGTGAAGTGATATCTCACTGTAGTTTTAATTTGCAATTTCATAATGACATATGCTGTTGAGCACACTTCCATGGGCTTATTAGCACATCCTTCCCAGTGAAATGTTCACTGTTTTCATTTTCTGTGAAAAATTCATGGTGTTTGTCTGCTTTGTAATTGGATTTATTTTTTTATGTTGAGTTTTGAACACTTTGTATATTCTCTATGTAAATAAAGTCCTTTGCCATTTGTGTCATACCTCTTAAAATTCCAAATTCAAGGTTTTAGCAGGATTGGGTCCTTCTAAATACTCTAGGGGAGAATTTGTCCTCTGTACCTTCCCTAGTTCTGATTGCTGCCAGGAAAATTAGGCACGATCCCAATTCTGCCTTTGTCTAAAAATTACCTTCTCTTCTGTGTGTCTTCTCTGCTTTGGTCTCATATGAAGACACTTATCATTACTCATCCTTGGCTTTGAGGTTGACTTGGGCCCTTTAGATGGTATGAGATCCTGCCATTACCCATAAAGTACTCAGATACAAAACTATAGTATAAGTGTAACCTGAATGGCTGGCATCAAGAGGAATGAGAAGAAAGGCTCTAGGAATGAAATGTCTTACATCATATATACTTGTGTTTCTCTGTGGTGACAGGGAGAGGAGACTGACTCACTTGGGGAATCTCTAATTTTGCTATGATATTTCTAAAGATATAGATATATACAATTTTTAGTTGTAGATGGACACAGTATCTTTATTTTGTTTACTTATTTTTATGTGGTGCTGATGATCAAACCCTGTGCCTTACATGTGCGAGGCAAGTGCTCTGCCACTGAGCCACAGCCCCAGGCCTTGCTATGATAGTTCTAAGGGGCAAAGTCCTCAACGTCCATAACATTGTTATATTCCAGGGGAAGGCAGCCAGCTTAGCTTTTACTCCCAGCATCATGGGATTTCAGTGTTGCACCATGGTCATATATTGCTGGTTGATTAACAGTGCTGAATTTGCTTGGACCCTACAAGAAAGTATAATTAGAGTTGGAAAAGACTATAGAGTATTAATTTTATTCCTGCCCTATAGAAAGACTTTAAATTCAAATCTAGTTAAATATGATCCAGTTTGGTCAGCTTCAGGATTTCAGAAGAATCGTGGGTCAACAGAGAAACCGAGTGTCCGTCCATTCTGCTGCTCTCACAGGGTCTCTCCCTCGCCCTCTCTCTTCTCCTGGCTGCCATGTACTTCTCTGCCACACCTGTCCGCCATGATGCTCTCTCTCCCTAGAGCAATGGAATTGGCAATCATGGACTGAACGCTCTGAAACTGTGAGCCAAAACAAACCTCCCCTCCTCTAGGTTGTTCTTGTCAGGTATTTGGTTCAGAGAGATGAAAAACTGAGAACATAGCGTTTGGATTAATCACCCCATAGGATCAGGATGTTCTGATGATCCCCAGATTTTCTCAAAGGGTCATCCATACCCCCTTGTTTCACTTGTAATTTGTCATTTAATTGCTTTATAGTATCAGGAGAAAGAGGAACAGCCCATGCTTTAGCTTCATTTCATGATCCTTCTGTACTCCCTATTTGTCCTACGGCATTCCCTGGTTAAGAACCAGGCTGTCTAATTTCACCAAAAAGAGCGATGGGTCGAGGGGTGGAGCTAAGAGCAGATACATTTAATTGACCAGGTGCTGGGGCGGGGGTTTTGTTGTTCCAACTTTAAAGTCATTGCTTCAGTTTACAAGAGAGATTTGCTTACAAATGAAAGAAACTCATCATTGAAATGGAGCAAGTAAAAATGGAAGGGATCCCTTTAATCTCCCAGGTTTGAAAATCCTCAGAAAGCTCCTAGCGGCTGAGCTTGGTAGTCCTCCCATGCTCTGAACCCCTGGCGAGGCCCAGCCAGTGCAGTCCTTACTGAGAACACTGAGTGCTGAGCTGACTGCCCGGGGGACATTCCCCAACATCCCAGTCTTGTTCCAAATAGCAGGTCATTAACCTCTTGTGAAGCAGGATACCTGAGAAAGCAATAGCACAGGATAATTTAGAATAGAAACCTCAGAATCCTTCCACAGTGGCTCTTTGTTTCTGAAAACATTCATTCTGGCCGTTGCTTATGTATGTGTATTTCTGGGTGTGATTCATATAGAAAAATGTATTGCTTAGTTTATGTTGTAGAAAAAGGATTCAAAAACTCTCAACTCTGCTACGCAGCTCGTGTATTTGAATTCTGGGTATTGTTGCTCTTTGCTATTGCTCCCAGGTTCGATGTTTGGAGTGCCTGACTCACAACAGTGAGACCATTTCCTTCATATTAGAGCAAAATTGCTCCCTTAATCCCTCTGCTCTTCATTTGCCCACTTTAGAGAATAATCGGGTACATTCATTTCCCCTCTGGGCTTTAACATGAAGCTTATATATCCTTGTTTGTTCCCAGTTTCATTTGTTTTTAATCCCCCTTTTTTACATCATCCTACTGCAATGAGTATTCATCTATTTTACTGTTTATTATAGCTTTCTGAATATATAAATGAAAACAGCCAGCACTCAACAAAAAAGCTCTACTTTGTTTTACTTATTAAAATGCCTTTGTAGAGACTTTGAATTAATTGAGGATGATAGATCAACAGTAGCATTTTTAAGCACCTGCAATTATTCATTGAATATAAGCGATATACTGAAATATTTTTTGAACTGTGACCACAGCTCCTCCTCAGAAGCTGTGGACATCTCAAAGAGAACTGTAATTTCTAAAATAAACATTTTTAAAGACACAGATGTTAGGTCAGTTTGAGGTGGCTAAGGGAACAAAGCACCAGGAAACTGGTACCACCTGTCAGTCATCGGAGTCTCCTGACTAATCCTGGAAGGACATGGAGTTCAGCAAGGTCACCTGACCAACCCCAGGAGGACAAGGGATCCTAAAAACCTCCCTTTCCTGTCCCAAGACCTCCTTTTCTGCCCTAAGCCTGATAAAAATTCCAACTTTGTTGAGCCTGGGTGCAATTCCCCCGACCCTCTCTGTTGGACTGGAGGATCTCACCTGGGAGCAAACCTCAATAAAGCCTCATTCAGCAGCTTTTAATCTGCCTCCTTTTGGCCACCGGTGCCTAACCTTAGTATAGGTATGAAAAACCAGCCTCTATCTCAGAGCAAAGCCTGTCCAAGGAAGGGACATGACCTTTGTCCTTGGAAAGACCCACAGAGCACTCCTAGGCACATTCCCCCCCACTGCTAAGTGGTTTATCTACAAATAACAGGAGAGATCTGCTGCCCCAGGTGTCCCTGACTCATTCAGGCTAGGTGGGGACCCATAGCAACCCCCTAGCAAACACCAATCAGCATGAGACAGGAAAATACCTGGGATGCCAGATGACCCTCCCAGTAGTTTATGGTGTTGGGAAACCATGTAGTTCAGCACGAACACCCCTCTTGGCTTAAACCAATCAGTTCAAATGAATCCCCCTCTTGTAGTAACCAATCACCCCTACCCAACTAGTTCCCGCCAGTGAATGTGCTAATCATGTTTTAGAGTTGTTATTTGATTTTCCCTCGGTGTGTGATGATTTGCTAAGAGGTGCTATGATGTATACATTCTCCAAAGAATGTATAAAACTGCTGCAAACCCTGGGCTCAGGGCCTCTCAGCGTCACCTGTTGCTGTGTGCACGCAGAGGACCGAGCTAGCTCGCAATAAACATCTCTTTGCTATTTACATCGATCTTGGTCTCCGGTGGTCTTTTGAGGGTCCCGAATTCGAGCATAACAGGTGCTGTCTAAATTTCAAGAAGCAACTAATATATGTGTGTGTGTGTGTGTGTGTGTGTATATATATATATATATATATATATATATATATATATATATATATATATAAAACCAAACTGAAGATTCCAGCTACACCAGTTTTCTGGTAAGTAGTAATGTGATCCTTCCTTTTTAAGGCAGTCCATTTCAATGCCTATTATCTGAGACTCCAGCAACCTGAAGCTAGCTATCCTGATTTACAGGGCCCTTCCTCCAGCCTACAACCACTCCCCCCACCCCAATACCACGCCAACCATGGCTGCTCTGGAGACTCAGTTACATGTAAGATCGGCATACTGGGGTGACCCAGAAAAATAGTGTTCGGTGCCCCATGGGGCTCAACCACAGCAAAACCCATGAAGACCTAGGATGTTTGGACATCTCCATTGCATTTCTTTCCTTAAAACTTGGAATCCCATTGTAAGTAGAACATTAAGTTCAGGGTATTGCCAGGTGTGCAACTAGTCATATGACTAATCTTGAGTTCCGTACTCTCCTTGGTTTTCCATCCTATTAGATGCCAAGCGTGCAGCTCCTTAGAAAGTTTGAGTGGCTCTGAAAAGAGCCTTTGGTTTGTGGCGTTCGTTTTTGCAACTGGTCAAACTCGCTTGGCACAGGTCTACTTGGTAGCAGCCTTGGTGTCCTTGGACCCTGCATGCTTGGCCAGCTCTTGAGGCAGCAATAAGCGCATGGCTGTGTGGAGCTCCTGGGATGCGTCGGTCGAGCGCTTGTTGTAGTGCGCCAGGCGCGACGCTTCCCTCGCGACGCGCTCAAAGATGTCCTTGAGGAACATATTCACAGAGCCCCCAACCTCGGAAGAGACACCAGTATCTGGGTGACCCTGCTTCGGCATCTCATAGTTGTAGTAAGCTTTCTTGGTGGTGTCTCTTACGCTTTCTCCACCACCTCGCTTCTTAGGAGTTGAAGGAACATCGTCTTTAGAAGAGGCATCGCTTCCTGCAGCAAGCCCAGGCATGGCCAAAACTGGGTGGAAAAGCAAATCCGAAGACGCAACCTCCTGTTGAGAACTGTGGTATTTATAGGTGTGGAGCTCTAAAGGAGGCTTTTACATCAGCACGTGATTGGATATTGCCGTGTATGTAAATGAGGAGACATCTTTCAGGTTCTCTGATTGGCTAAACAGCAAGCAGCAGTCAGAACAGTCACAAGCCTCCACCAGAGTATAAATAAGCTGGGAGCTTGTCTTAAGGGAAGCTGTTTCCTTTATAATAGCTTGCTTCTGCAGTGTTGTGTGGATGATTGTGTTGTTCTCCAGGTGAATTTGCAGACCTCATGCCAGGGCAGCTCTGTTGGTGGCATGGGCGTACAGGTGTATTTTGTTGTTTGCTGATTTTTTAAAAAATGGTTGTGGGGTTCACTCTAGGTCTAATGCAACAAGTGCTCTATCAGTGCTACATCCTCAATATCTGTCTCCACTTAATCTTCTCTAAGAAGCTACAGGTAATGTCTGCCATCATTTCTGGAGTCTCACTCTTCACATGCTGAAAGAAAATAAAAAGTGGCTGTGTTCAAGTTCCAAGTCTAAAAGCTCCAGGAAAGGATTTTCCTGACTCAGCTCAGAATACTGATCACCATCTGAGCCACTGTAGTCCTGTGTATGCAGTGCCTATACTCTGATTGGCTGTTTCCTACATCCAACTTTATTCCACTAGTCAATAAGTGCATATCAAACTTTTTTAAGACAAAATAAACTTTAAAATAGAATGGAATAACTCAGTGCGTCCTATTTAGTAAGAGTAATTCACATAGAATGTTTTGACTTATGTCTGCTTGTGTACAGTTAAGAAGCCATCTAACCATCACATCATCTTATTTCTGGTAGATGCATGGCAGAGGCAAGATTCTCTTACTCTGAGAGTCTGTGTTGTGCAAGAGCTCAGTCTAAACCAGTGGTATAGATTCCCATTCAGAACTAAATAGGCTGTTTTACATAATATTATGTTATAGACCTTGCTGGATTCTTGAGATTCTCAGCAGTCTGGCTTTGGCAGAGGTGGCTGGCAGAGGCCCTGGCAAGAGCCTCCTCTAACTTGTGACCCTTTCCATCTTAATCCTACTGACCATGCATGAGTGATTTCTTGGGGAAATTCAGCTCAGAGAGTGAAACCCTCAACTGATTAGTACATACCCATCTTTTTCCAGTAGAGCAAGTGGAGCAGTGGGGAGGAAGGGGAGGAGGGAAGGATAGGGTATTAGGGAATGAAGTTGATCAAATTATGCATGTGCCTGTAGGAATATGTGACAACGAATCTTACCAAATACACCAATTAAAATATTAAAAACATGAAACTGGGGATTGGGGATGTAGCTCAGTGGGTAAAGTGCTGGCCTCACATGCACAAGGCCCTGGGTTCAATCCCCAGCTCATACACACACACACACACACACACACACATACACACACATAACCACAAAACCGTGTAAAGGCAAAATGCACCCACTGTAAACTGAGCTTTAGGAAATCAATGATGCATAATTTGCTAAAAGTGGACAAGTGAGGAGGAGAATGACAAACTAATGAAAGCCAGGAGGGACTTCCTGAGGTACTGATGTGCAATGTGGGTTTTTGTTTCTAACTGCTTTGTTTTTACATCTCCCCGCCCTGTTTTTTTATTTTTATTTTTGTTTCTTTTACAAAAAGCAGGACTCCTGTAGGCGGCCTCACTTTCCCCTGGCCTTGTGGTGGCTCTCGGGCATCAGCACCCCTGGATGTTGGGAAGGACAGCGCCCTGCTGGAAGGTGACTTTGCCCAGCAGTTTGTTGTGCTCCTCCTTGTTGCGGATGGCCAGCTGCAGGTGGCGCGGGCTGATGCTCCACTTCTTGTCGCGGGCCGCGTTGCCAGCCAGCTCCAGATCCCAGGCCCTCAGGTATTGGAGCACCGCCGCCAGGTAGACCGGGGCGCCGGCCCCGACCGGTTTTACATGGCTGCCCTCAAGCCCCTGGCCGTGGACTCCGCCAACAGGGAGCTGCAGCCCAGCGCGGGAGGAGCGCGGAGGGGCGCGTCTTAGCCCAGGCGCCAACCTGGCCGCATGGCGCCCTCTAGTGATAAAAGAAAGTGAGAGGTGATAAGGGACTGGGAAAAGGGATAGGCGGAAGCCTGTAGTTGGCTTTGTAATTTAAAAGTCTGGCCTCTTGAAAGTGCCCCATCCAAAAGAAGTAAACCTGGGGACAGTCTCCTATGTTCTTTCATGGACCAGACTTTAGTGCTGTCAATACTTCATTTGACACAAGTTTCACAGGACTCCCCTTGTGAGGTACTAATGCTTGCCAAGTGCACCCGCTGCCCTGAGTCCTGTTACCAAGACTTGAACAAAGACGTTTTCAGAACCACTTTAGTTTTGAAAACTATACTTCTAGTCACTGGGTCTCTGCCAGTAATTCCTTGGTGGTGGTGATAATGCAATGGCTGTGAATTACCCAATCAGCTCAACACTGAGGGCCGAGGGGTAAATTTCCCCCCATCTTTGCCATAGTTTACCTTGTATATGAATTTTTTTTTCAGTCTTTCAGTGTTAAAGTTGCATAGCACTGTGTGCATGTGCGTCATGGTCCCACTTACGATCCAATACCCACCCCCTTCCTTTAATTTTTTTTTTTTTTACTTATACTTTCATCCTATGTTCGAAGGCTTCTTTAGTGTTTAAACTCTCTTCATAATGTTCTCAGCCTTTTGGGGTACTTTAATTTACATTACCTAATTTCTCTATACTTCGGGGAATTTGAGATAAATCTTCATTCTCTATTTATGCTAGTTATGGGTGAGACTAGAGCTTTTCTGCTTCTGGCACATGAGGTCTGCTAAAGCTAGATGCTCTGCAACTGAGAAGCACTGCAGTTTTTAATGATAAGATACACTGTCTAATGTTGCAGCAGGCCTCCGCAGTTCAAATTTGCATCTCGAGAATTGGATATATAAACCCCACAAACAAGAAAGAATGAGTATAACAAAATATGTTGAAGAACAAGAACAGAACTCTTATATTTTAAAAACTAACTAATGGCAATTTTTTTTTCCAGCTGAACCTGCTGCTCAAGGGGTTTACATAGCATTTGGGTCTCTGCCATTAGTCCAAATTTATGCTAATTAGGGTTTGAATGAAGTGCCAATGGTATTGGTCCAAACTTATGCTAATTAGGGTTTGGAACTATACTAACACTATTGGTCAATTCTCAAGTCCAGACTTCCCCACTTCCGTTTTCTCACTGCAGGTCAGGAAGCAGGAGATTGGGGTCCTTGGATGGATCGGCATAGCTGCACAGAGTGGGCATATGCAGCAGGTGTCCACGCCATGCCCAGGCCTGGTGGAGGAAGGATGACGGATGGGTGGCCTCGGCTCCCCTCAGCATTGGTTTGCAGTGCCTCAGACCTACAGCGCCTGCGTGGTGGGTTGCCGCCTTCGCCTGCGCTCCAGCCCACCTGGACCACCCCTCCACTGCTCTGTTGCCGCTTCTTGGCAGGAACCAAATGGATGGCCGTGCTCCTTGACAGTGGGGGGACATATCATCATTTTCATTAATATTTGCAACCTCTTGGGGTATTTGGTTTAATATTACGTAAGTCCTCTATATTTTGGGGGGTTTTTTTAGAATTTTCTCACTTTACTGAGGCTGTGAGTCCCCTAGTCATGGAGGGCTTTTTTTCAGGATGGCTTTTCTCCCAAAGTCAAATAATTTCTGCTTCAGTCAGGATTGGCTCCAACAACCATTGATCACGAGTGGGTGGGTATATGGCCAGGAGTAGACCAGAGTCATTCCTCAGGGTCTTAAGGAGGTCAGTCTTAAAAGCAACTGAAGATGAAATCTAAAGGTTTAAGTGCCATGGGCAGAATCTTTTGAAAACGCTTTTGGTACTGAGGCACTTAGGTACTAGGCCATGCAGTTGCATTTTGCTTTCTGAGTGGTTGAACACCATCCCATCAGATTAGCCTTTTTTTCAATTAATTTTTTAAATTTTAATTAGGTATATATGACAGCAAAATGCATTTTGATTCATTGTACACAATAGCAGCACAACTCTACATTTCTATGATTGTACAAGATGTAGCATCACACCATATGAAGAGTCATACATGTTTCTAGGGTAATGATGTCCATCATTCCACCATCTTTCCTGCCCCTATACCCCCTCCCAACTTTCCCTCCCCTTTACCCATCCATCTGGTTCATCCATCTTTTGCCCAAAGTTCCTCCATTTTTTCCCATGCCTCCCCCCTTCCTGTTATGGATCAGCATCCACTTATCAGAAAGAACATTCAGCCTTTGTTTTTTTGGGATTGGCTTACTTTGCTTAGCATGATATTCTCCAACTGCAGTCATTTACCTGTAAATGCCATAATTTTATTCTCTTTTAATGCTGAGAAATATTTCATTGTGCATATATACTACAGTTTCTTTATCCATTCATCTATTGAAGGGCATCTAGGTTGCTTCCACAGTTTAGATATTGTGAATTGAGCTGCTGTGAACATAGATGTGGCTGCATTACTATAGTATTGCTGATTTTAAGTCCTTTGGGTATAGACCAAGAAGTGGGATAGCTGGGTCAGATGGTGGTTCCATTTTCTAAGGAATCTCCATACTACTTTCCATATTGGCTGCACCATTTTGCAGTCCCACCAGGAATGTATGAGTGTGCCTTTCCCCCCACATCTTCACCAACATTTATTGTTGTCTGTGTTTTTCATAACTGCCATTCTGACTGAAGTAAGATGAAATCTTAGAGTGGTTTTGATTTGCATTTCTTTAATTATGAGATGTTGAACATTTTTTCACATATTTGTTGGTCAGACACTTTCTGATAAGTATCTGTTTAACTCCTTAGCCCATTTATTG